AGAGCCTAATGACTGAGAGAACTATAAAGAGGAGTCTTCAATTCCCTTGTTAATAAACCAGCAACGCTGAGAGACAGGGGCGTGATGATAAAATTCAAAAGGAGATAAAAGGCTTAAAAGAGGTGGTAACCTCAGTCCCGGAGACTAAAAACTCTGCAGTTTCACGACTCTTACCAGAAGAGTAATTCTCTTTCTACCATCATAGCTGGTTTAGATCCGCCTACAGTTCAAACAACTGCAAAGCTGAGGCAGACGGCCAACATTAGAAAATAAGTCTCCTTTACAAGCTTGTATCAGAGAAGCTGCTAATAGAGGGGGAGAAATGCAAGGATTTCAATTATTTCCTGTAATAGAGCAAAGAGAAGCTCAAAAAAGTCTGCTTAGTATACATACTACCATATCATTTAAGTTACTCAAAAAATTAAAAACTGCTTGTGCTCAGTACGGTCAATGGCTCCATTACTCAGATGCTATTTAAAAAATATAGCAATAAAAGCTCTGTCCCCAGGGGATTAAAAGCAGAAAGTCAAAGCTTGCCTGTCAGAAAAACCCCATCTATTGTAAAAAAACAAACTTGCAAAACAATGTCAGGCCACAGCTGAGAGAAACAGGGCTCAACAAGTTTCTATTTCATATGAAATGCTTGCAGGTAAGGGACCTCATACAGGGGCAAATCAACATATGTCCAAATAAATACAACTGCCAAAAAGGCCTAAAATAGGCTTCCATCTTCTAAAAACCAGGCTAAGAAATTGTCTAATATAAGACAAGGACCAAATAAATTTTTTCAAAACTTTGTCTCCAGACTAACACAGACATCTAACAGGTTAATTGGAGACACAAGCAGGACAGTTAGTAGTTAAACAGCTAGCCTTTAAAAACACTAATGCTGTATATAAAGCAGCTCTATGGCCTTTGAAAAAGCAGGGTAACAGTGTAAATTATATTCAAATTTGCATGGATATCAGCCAATTGTATACACTCAGGGTCCCTCAAAGATTACAGTAGGCATCAGTCTAAAAACCATGATGGCCACCAGAGATGGGTTGGGGTTTTTGGCCATTCCACTGGTTATGGATGTTTATCATCATTTAAGGGAGTTGTTATTGGTCATGATCAGGAAAAAACTGAAGAAAAGAGATTAGATTCAGGGATTTCATTCTGAAAAGAAAAAGGGGGAACACAGAACTGACAGGATAAAAGGGTGGATTACTGAATCTACTTTTAAACTAAAAAAGCAACTACTAGTCTTAAATATTTTACTGTAGTGTGAAATTTTGTATAATAATAGAAATCTAAGGTTATTTTTGTTATATATTTTGTATTTATGTTTATACTCTTGTTTAAGATATTTTGGTATACTGATACAAATTAAAAGGTCATTTTTGTTAGAACATACTGAACAAACATTTCTACCCTTTTTTTTTGGTTTGTTTGTTTGTTTGTTTGTTTGTTTTTCAAGACAGGATTTCTCTGTGGCTTCGGCGCCTGTCCTGGTAGAGCTCCTGTGGACTGGGCTGGCCTTGAACTCACAAAGATCCACCTGCCTGTCTCCTGAGTGCTGGGATTAAAGGCATGTGCTACCACCAACCAGCTACATTTCTACTCTTGTCTAAGGTATTATACCTAAGGAGCTCATTTAACAATGTAATGTAAATTCCTAGACATTGAAAGTTATTACTACAAATTATTTAAGATAATAAAAAATGCAGGTTAGTAGTTAGTCACCAATAACGATCAAACTCGTTGTCATGTTAGATATGTTTTTAAGGTCAAACACATATATTTTAGATAGACAGGTGGTCTTCAAACACTTCAGAGATCTACAGAATATGGCATTTAAAATATTTAATATGTTTTAATAATATAAGGCTTTTCATGACAGTGAGACACGTCTGCTCCTGGTAGCACCAATCTACTTCAGATATGATGGGCACTGAAGAATCTCCATATGGAGTTTGCTTTCTTTGTGGCAAAAGGTAGTCACTGGGTAAAATACTATCCTTGCCTTGACTTCTGACTGTATTCTCTCCAAATTGGACGAGCAGAACACAAAAGGAAGCAACTGCTGAACTTTGTCAAGACAAGACACTACAGTCCTTCAAAATTCCTGCTTCACAGAGAAGTCTGTCAGATATTCTAGGCCTGTAGGCCAAAGATGATGTCCCAACATTACAGAGGAACCTTGGGTGACTGTCCAGGCAATCAGATGTCTCTGTAATTTCTATAGTTTTAGAAGTTGTTTGCTCTGCACTTCCGGTTTACTCAAGTAATATTTTATCCTTCTCACATCTCTGGAGTTGAAGAAGAGATAGTTATATAATTACAGTTTTCTTTGTTACTAAATTCAAAACAAACAATCTTACATAACAGAAATTTATAAAGGTAAAAAAAATAAAAGTTTAAGTTCTTTATATAGAAAGATGTTTTAAGATTTAAAAAGATATTTTTAGGATGTATTACTAAAAAGATATTTTTAGTAATACAAGTTATGACAAAAAATGGTTCAGGTATAAAACTTTAGACTAAAATAGGATAGATGATAGATAGATACAGTGCTTTCTCCAAATCTGCGAAATGCAAATGGACTGGACACTGTGAATGTAATTCTTACTTGATAATTGTTGATACTGTATATAATTTTACTATATTATAGTCAAAATCCTTCTTTTTTGTTTAGACAAAAAAGGGGGAATGTTGTGGAATAATCTTTTTGTACACTGTGAAGATGTCACTCTGATTGGTTTAATAAAAAGCTGATTGGTCAATAGCTTGGTGAGATCTCTAGGCACAGAGAATGCTTGAAAGAAGAAGGACAGAGACACCAGGAAATGCAGAACAAGTAGGATGGAAAATATGGAGATGAGGTAATAAAGTCATGAGGCAGAAAGTAAATTAATAGAAATGGATTAATCTAAGTTAATATGAGCTAGCTAGAAACAAGCCTAAGTTATTGGCTGAACTTTCATAATTAATAAGTCTGCATGTCATTATTGGGGAGTTGACGGTCTCGATGAAAAGATCTGACTGCACTCAGTGATTAAGAGAATTGGCTGCTTTTGACTTGGGTTTGATTCCCATCACCCCCATGGTGGCTCACAACTGCCTATAACTCTAGCTCCAGGGGATCTACTGCTCTCTTCTTACCTCTGTGGGTATTACATATACCCACATAGACACAGACATAGGCACACATAATTATGAAATAATAAATCTTTTTTTTTTTAAAAAAAAAAAGCAACCTCAAAACTCACTTCCCTGTGACATACCTCCTCAAACAAAGCTATACCTTTTAATCCTTTCCAAACAGTTCATAAAAACGTATAAACCTATGGGGTCATTTTCATTCAAACCAACGCATTGACTGATGATGGGTAGTTTCATCATCTGTGGGGATGGAAACATTCTGCAATGAGAATATTTGCACAATGGTGTGCGTTTTTAATTGCCACTCAACTGTATACTCAGAAATGGTAAAAAATGGTGAGCCAGGTGTAGTGGCGCACACCTTTAATCCCAGCACTTGGGAGGCAGAGGCAGACAGACCTCTGTGAGTTCAAGGCCAGTCTGGTCTATATAGTTTGCTCTAGGGCTATCAGAGAAACCCTGTCTTGAAAAACCAAAAGAAAGAAAGAAATGGTAAAAATGGTATAAAAGCACAATGGGGCCTTCAAGATGGCTCACCAGGTAAAAGCACTTGCCACCAAGCATGACCACCTAAGTTTGAGCCCACAAGGCAATGGTGGAAGAAGAGAACAATTTCTGAAAGCTGTTCGTCAACCACACACCCCACACACCTCCCATGACAGCATAAACAATGTAAAAACAAGTAATTCTTTATACAACAAAAAATAAAATGATTAAGTACTGGTCCATGCCATTAAGTTTCCCATTATATTCCCCAGAGAAGACAGACACAAAAGGCCCAAGCTGAACACTGCATTTGTAGGAACTATCAGAGCAGGCAAGTACAGAGACCAAAGCAGAACTGGAAGGAGGAGAAAAGCACGCTGATTACCTATGCCTGTGAAGGTAGCACTGCCTGAGTCTGAGACACACCAGAAGCCACTGAGCTCCATAAGGTAAGGAGGGATTAGATCCACAGTCATTGTAGCATGATTCACAACAACCAAATATGGAACCAGCCTAGATGTCCATCAGCAGCGGAGGGAATAAGGAAAATGTGTTTCATATACACAAGGACATTTCATTCAGCCATAAAGAAGAACAAAATCAGCCCGGCATGTGACACATACCTGCAATCTCAGCATTCAGGAAGCATCAGCAAGTGAATCTGAGTCCAAAGCCACTGGACTATGCAGTGAATTCCAGGCCACCCAGTACTACATAGTAAGAACCTCTCTGTGTGTGGAGAGAGAGACTCAGAAATAATCACACTTCTCTCTCATAGGCACAATCTTCACAGAGATGTGTGTGTTTTGAAGGAAGAAGGGGCTCAAAAGGAGAGAGAAAGCTGGGCATGGTACGTACATCTTTGATCTCAGCACTAGGAGGCAGAGACAGGCGTATCTCTGAGAGTTGGAGGCTAGCCTGGTTTACAGAGCAAGTTCCAGGACAGCTAAGGGTACACAGAGAGAGACCCTGCCATGAAGAGAGAAGTGGGGGGTAGTGAGGGGAACAAGAGAGAATAAAGGGGGAAGGGAAAGAGACCATACTGCAAGTTTTCTCATGTGAAGACTGTACCTAGATACAAACACACACAGCAGGGGGATTACAGGGAAAGGAAGGGGACAAGAGGAAGAGAGAGAAAGAGAAGGATGGTAACAGAGATGAATATGAGCAAAGTGCAGTAATATATATGAAAGCGTCACAATGAAACCATTATTTTGTACATAGAAACACTCATAAAGAAGTAATTACAATTCCAAATGAAAAGAAGACATTTTGTTCTGTGGTTTATATCAGAATATCATGGTTCTTTCAGAAAAGCTGCGCTGTGTGAGACAAAGTCTGAATGGTTAAGTGCCAGTAGCACCTACCTCGGGGAAAGGTCTCCGGAAGTGGTCCCATTTTAGAAGCTTCAGGTAGGCATAATTCTGGACAGAAACAGGGGTCAGCACTGGAGCATCCCCTGAGCCAGCAGCCCCTCCCCCAGCTGGCAGGGCATGTTTGTACTTCTGAGTCAAAAGGTCATTTGAGGCCTCCTCCAGCCACTGGGTGACAAAGTCCAGGGAGTCTGTGGAAAACAGGGCTGTGTTCATCACTCTGACACTTGCAAGGACACTTCTAGAAATTGTCTTAAGGAAGAGCAGTCCAACAGTGAAATTCAGGATGGAAAATGAACTTTGGAATCCACAGAACTCAATCCAGATCACAGTATTGCTCAGTGCTAGCTTCATGACCTCAGACAAGTCTATCTGAATAGAAGGTGGTGGCGCACACCTTTAATCCCAGCACTCAGGAGGCTGAGGCAGGAGGATCTCTGTGACTATGAGGCCAGCCTGGTCTATAAAGCAAGTTCCAGGGCAGCCACAGCCAGGACCGTTACACAGAGAAGCCTGTACTGAGAAACAGCACGAGAAGCACCTGCTGCTGGAGCTCAGGAGCCAGTCTGCCCCTTCCTTCCTGTCTTCTCTCGTTCTGACCACTGCATCAGGTGACTGCAGCTCTGAGGGATGGTCCCCAGACAAACAGGACAAGACAACAGCTGGAGTACCCTGTGTACACGTGTACTGAGGGCTTGTATCAGTCAGGATTGCTCACGGCCTGGTGTCTGCTGTGTAACTCACCGCATGGGGAGCACTGTGGGGCTTTCTTTAGCCAAGTAACACAGCAGGTCCCCCATAAGAACACAGTTTGGAGTAAAAAGTGTCTCGGGAGAGCTGCATCCCTGTGGAGGCCTCCTTCAGAGCACACAGGCAGCTGGGGCTACAGAGGCTGGCAGTTCTTCCCAGGTACAAGATGCTCTGCACAAAGTACTTGCTTTGGTCCTGACTGCTGAGCTGCAGAGCCTCACCCTGCCTTTAGCCTTCTAGAGACAGCCTTTCTCTGTGGCTCCAGGCTTTGGAAACCTCAGTGGACAAGTACTAGACTCTGATGACCAGAGAGAGTCTAGGCAGGCTCCTGTTCAGCAATTCACTGCAACTGAGCTCCTGGGGCATGACTCCATCATGCTCCAGCCTGAGGCCGTGTCCCCAGGTGCCTCCAGAGAGACAGAATGGTGTGTCAGTCAATCTCCTTCCACTACTTCTAGTCTCTCTTTCCACCCTGGTCCCAAGCATCCACCCGAGGATGCAGGAATTAACTTTTGGGGCCACTGAATTAAGAAACCTGGTCAGGCAAGAAGAACTATTCAGAGACAGTCATTTCCATCTCATCAGCAAAGCTGTGCTATGTGACATTCAAGCACGCTGCACCTGAAAACACAGCGAGTCTAGACTCCTCAGTCAGGTGTTCACCTGCAGTCATTCTGGGCTTCACAGAGAGCACCGGGCCAGCCTGGGCTTCACAGAGAGCACCAGGCCAGCCTGGGCTTCACAGAGAGCACCGGGCCAGCCTGGGCTGCAGAGCAGGACAAAACAAAACAAAACAAAACAAAAACAAAAACAAAGCCGGGTGTGGTGGTGTATCCTTTAAACCCAGCGCAAGAAAAGCAGCAAAGCAGCCTACAGGCTGCCAGGGCCACATTTAGAGAACCCTGTCTCAAAAACAAACCAAAACAAATAACAATAACAAGGAAAGACTGACATTTTCTGGTTGTGAGACTGAAGTTCCCTGCTGCTGCCATGAGTAGGAGGAAAGTTAACTGAGATTTGTCAAGATTTCAAGATCAAGACGCAAAATATAAGAGTAAGAGAAACTGGTATTTTCCTTAGGGGAAAACCCTTAATCCAGTGATCTTCATTCTTTTCATGTCTGCTCTTATGGTCTACCCACACAGCTTGTCAGCTGAATTTACTATTATTTTGTTTTCGAGGCTTTAGCAGCATCCCATGCTTTTCCTTCAACTTACACCACCCTCATATATTCTAGACTTGAATGAGAAAGTTGTTGGATTTTGTTTTCTTAATTTATTTAATTTTGGGTTTTTTTTTTTTTGCGTTTTTCCCCCCAAGACAGAGTTTCTCTGTGTAGCCCTGGCTGTCCTGGAACTCACTCAGTACCCATAGCTGACCTTGAACTCAAAGATCTGCGTGCCTCTGCCTCCCAAGTGCTGGGATTAAAGGCTGTTTGCATAGAAGCATCACCCCAGCCCCTGGCATCCATATATTCCCAAGACTCTGGGATGTTCGGGTGGAAGCTCCATTCCAAGTCCACGGCCCTGGAGTTGCCCCAGTTCAGATTCCACCCCTGAGAAAGCCCGTCAAACGGTGACCCCTCCCTAGGGGTGCTCAAGACCATTCCCGCAGGATATTTAAACTGTCCCTTCCTTCTCCGCCTCCTCTCTGAGGGCTGGAAAGCATTTTTATCCATTCAATCTGGTTTGATTTGGTCTGATCTGGACTACTGCGTCAGCTGAGAGGCTGATGGGGTCAGGAACTTTCAAAGGCATCTGTACACCACTGCCCAGCTCAGTTATGGGCTTCTAGTCATGAGAATCCACAGCAGCTGAAGCACAACACAAAGCCAACAGTGGAAAGGCGCCACCAGCATTCCACTTACTTGGCTGCTTCTCCAAGACTTCCTGAAACTTCTTCCTCTCATACTCGACTGACTGCTGCATGAGGTGCGGCCGAATGCTAGTGATAGCAAAGTTGGCCATGTCTACTTTCATTAGGTCCAACACAGAAAAGATTGCTCTGAAAAAAAATAACAAGATTTAGAAGCAGGCAGTAGTGACATAAACACAGTTTAAAGGAGAAGAGAGGTATGTTTCATCCCAGAAGGGCAGCAAAAGAGCCACATGATGGTTTAATCCCAGCACTTGAGAGGCAGAGGCAGGAGGATCTCTGTGAGTTGCAGGCCAGCCTGGTCTACAGAGCGAGTTCCAGGACAGTCGGGACTGTTACACAGAGAAACCACCGTCTTGAAAAAACAAAACAAAACAAAATTAAGGAAATGAATGTGGGGGACTGGGAGATGGTTCAGGGGTTAAGAGCACTTCCTGCTCTTCCAGGGGACCCGTGCTGACTAATTTTATGTCAGCTTGACACAAGCTGGAGTCATCAGAGAAGAGGGAGCTGCAGTTGAAAAAATACCTTCATTAAGATGTGTAGACAGATTTCTCTTTGCGCTTCCAGCTCACAGAAAATGACACAGAGACTTACTATTAATTATGAAAGCTCAGCCTTAGCTTATGCTTGTTTCTAATTAGCCCGTATTTTTAAATCTATGTTCTGCCACGTGCTTGTTACCTCATCTCCATTTTGCTCATCCTGTTTCTTCTTCCCTGAGCTCTGGCCAGAAGTCCTGCCTCTATCTCCTGCCTAACTATTGGCTCTTTAGTAAACCAATCACAGTGATACATCTTCACATAGTGTAAAAGAATATTCCACAACAAAGATGGGGCGTTAGGGAAGCCCGTAGGGTATTTTCTTAATTAGTGTTGATGTGGGAGGGCGCTGCCTGTTGTGGTCGGGGTCACCCCTGGGATGGTAGTCCTGGGTCTATAAGAAAGCAGGCTAAACAAGCCAGGGGAAGCAAGCAGCAAGCAGCATTCCTCCGTGGCCTCCAGGTTCCTGCCCTGCTTGAGTTTCTGTCTTCGGTGAGTGAAATAAACCCTTTCCTCCCCGAGCTGCTTTTGGTTATGGTGTTAGATCACAGCAAAAATAGCCTAACAGCACTGATAGCAGTGCCAGGGTCAAGGGGCACTGCTGTAACAGGCCTGACCATGCTGTTGTAGGGGGATTGTGGAAGAACTTTGGAACTGTGGGTTAGAAAAGTCCTTGAGTGCTCAAAGCCTAGTGGCCTTTCCTACAGGAGCTCGGAATGAGAATGTTGAGAGCAGTGCAGATGATGGAGGCCGGGCTTGGAAGCTCCAGAGGGAAGTCTGAGAGCCACTTAAAGACTCTATCAGGGCTGGTGGCTATTTTGAGTTGACAGTTTGTGGTTCTGGTTAGCTGGGGCAGAAGAATCAGCGGTGACTCACAAGAGACCAGAACCACTGACAGAAAACCTTGGCTTCGCTGGGACAACTGATGCTGCATAATTTGTGGTGGTGAAGACGAGACCAGCATCACTGAGGTGAGGTCCTCTGGGAAGTGTTTCCTCAGTCAGTACACAGAAGCTGTGGTCCAGAGTGGCCAAGGTGGTCCCTTCACTGGAAGCTGAACTTGGTAGTGTAAGAGTCACCCAGGTGGTACTGGTTTTGAAGGCAGAAAGGAGTCATGGAGAGCAGCTGAAGCTTGGCACCGTGAAAGGCCAGGAGAAGCCACTGGCGAAGGTGGAGTCAGAATTGCAGCGGAAGTCCCAGGAGTGAAGGAGTCATGAGGAGAAGGCGAGGCTCTGCACCATGAAGAGAGCCCAGGAAAGGCTGCTGATGGCAAGTGCAGCCCAGCTGCAGCAGAAGACCCCAGCGTTTTGGAGATGCCAATACCACGGGGCAAATGCCAAGAACAGCGGTACCATGACGGAGTGGAGCCTGCCTAAGCCTAGAAGACAGCCTGTGAGTGCAGCAGGGCAGAGCCTGGGATGTCCCAGGCCCTCTGCGGGAGCCCAAAACATCAGGAGTGAGTCCCAGACAATGGGCACTGAATGATTTACACCGTGGGAGTTTGGTTTTACTTCCATCTGTTGGTGACTGTGCCTGGCTCTTCCCTCTTGAAGTGAAAGCATTTAACTTAACACTGACTTTTATAAGAGTGCACAGTTGAGAGACTTTGAGTTTTTGAAAGAGATTTTGGATTTTTAGAGACTGGATATTTTAAAGAGACTGAACTTTGTTTGCTTGCTTTGTTTTTCTGAGACAGGGTTTCTCTATGTAGCCCTGGCTGTCCTAGAACTCATTCTGTAGACCAGGCTAGCCTTGAACTCACAGAAATCCACATGGCTCTGCCTCCCGAGTGCTGGGATCAAAGGAGTGCATCACCCATCACTGCTTATGAAACTGAACTCTGAGGTGTTTGAATATGTAAAGACCATGGGACTTTTAAAGTTACTTACATTTTATATTGTAAAGTTAATATTATTGTGCCATATTGAGGATAAATAAGAAAGAAAGGTTCAAATTGAAAAATAATGTTTGCATGTCAAGCTGACCATGGGTCAGCTGTGCTGGCTAGTTTTATGTCAACTTGATACAAGGTAGAATCACTAGAGAGGAGGGCCTTAGTTCACATTCCAGCACATATGTTAGGGAACTCTCTGGCCTCCTCAGGTGTCTGCATTCATGTGCATACTCCCTCAGACAGGCATATGTATGATTTTAAAAAGATAACAATCTTTTCTTAAAAGTAAAACAAATTTGGGCCAGGCGGTGGTGGTGCATGCCTTTAACCCCAGCACTCAGGAGGCAGAGACAAGCGGATCTCTGTGAGTTCAAGGCCAGTCTAGTCTACAAGAGCTAGTTCCAGAACAGGCACCAAAGCTACAGAGAAACCTTGTCTCGAAACAAAACAAAACAAAACAAAAAATTTGGAAAACAAACACAAAACTAATGGCTTGAAAGAGTGTAAAATTTGCCTAGCAGTGGTGGCATACACCTTTAATCCCAGCACTCCAGAGGAAGAGGCAGACGATCTCTGTGAGTTCGAGCCAGCCTGGTCTACACAGCAAGTTCCAAGCTAGGGATACATAGAGAAATCCTACCTCAAGAAACAAAACAGAACAAAAAGCTGCAAAATTTTAAGGTGTTTTTAATCCCCTTTCCCTCCCCCTCTGCTTCTCACACTTGATGTTGCCTTTCTAGTCCAGAGCAGGTTCCTTGGCTCTGGGCCAGCCCTCCTGGAGGCCAGAGGAAAGACAGGGTCTTAATCTGAGCTGAAGCTCCTTGGTATTCGTGCTTATACAGATAGATTCATTTTCTAAGCAGAGAATGAAAATTAGCCAGGCAAGGTGGCACACATCTTTAATCCCAGCACTCTGAAGCAGAGGCAGGAGGATCTCTGTAAATTTGAGGCCAGCCTGGTCTACATATCAAGTTCCAGAAAAGCCTCTTGGACTGGTGTGGGTTTGTGAGCTGAAGGGAGAGGGCTCCAAATGCATCCTTTCCTGCACATGAGCCTGGAGAGGAAGACTGTGCTTCTGAAGGGCATGGGCCTGGAGCACATTTGATCCTAGTCCTGCTTCTGTGCAGGGCCACACTGCACGTGAGCCTTGGGGTTTTTTGTTTGTTTGTTTTTTTGAGATAGGATTTCTCTGTGTAGTCCTGGAACTTGCCTTGTTGATCAGTCTGGCCTCAAACTTACAGAGATCCAAGTGCTTCTGTGTCCTGGGTGTTAGGATTAAAGTTATGTGCCACCATACCCAGCAAGCCTTGGTTTTTGCTTCTTGTTTTTTGATATGCGTTGGTGTTTTGCCAGCATGAGAGTATCAGATCCCTGGACTGGAGTTAAAGACAGCTGTGAGCTGCCATGTAGGTGCTGGGATTTGAACCTGAAAGACAGCCAGTGCCCTTAACTGCTGAGCCTTCTCTCCAGCCCCTGAGCCTTGGGTTCTTGACTGTCTCCTGAGCTGGGTACTCAGCGATCCTTAGTCATGGTGTAGGCCAGGCAGAATGGAAGGCATTCTCAGAAGCAGGTCAGGAGTTTGTCCTTTGGGTACAGAGTGTGAATTAGCAATTATACCACTGAACTAGAGCATAAAGTACCTCTTAAAACACAGAGGAACTGGGGAAAGAGGAAGGAAGAAAGGAGAAAGTTAATTTTTGTTCTTTTGGTCTGGGTCCACTTGTCCTGAGAGGCATGTCATCTCTACTGGAAACACTCCAATCAGTCTCTTAAGGCCACCCACAGGGAAGCAAAGGCCATCAGAAACCTGCCCATGGGCAGCTGCTGACTTACAGTAATCCCAAACATGCTCATACAGTGCTTCCAAAAACCAGGGGGCTGGAGAGAAGGCTCAGAGGTCAAAAGCACTGGCTCTTTTAGAAAGGTCCTGAGTTCAATTTCCAGCAACCACATGGTGGCTCACCATCATCTACAATGAGATCTGATGTATGTATAATAAGTAAATCTTAAAAATAGAAAAAAGCCAGGTGATGATGCAAATCTTTTAATCCCAGAACTCAGGAGGCAGAGGCAGGCAGAGCTCTGTGAGTTCAAGACCAGCCTGGTCTACACAGTTAGTCAGGATAGCCAGGGCTACACAGAGAAAGCCTTTCTTGAAAAACAAAAAAACAGCCAAGTAGTGGTGGTGCATGCCTTTAATTCCAGCACTCAGGAGGCAGAGGCAGGCGGATCTCTGTGAGATCGAGGCCAGCCTGCTCTACAAGAGCTAGTTCCAGGACAGGCACCAAGCTACACAGAGAATCCCTGCCTCAAACAAAACAAAACAAAACAACCAACCAACCAAACAGATCTCCGACTTTAGTCCCTTAGTACCAGACAAGCAGTGGCTGTGAGTGGCAGGATTTCTACATTTCTGGGTTTTAGATGTTCGTTTTAGAAACATTTTTGAAATGACCAAGTCCCTAGACTTCAAGTGTAAATCTGCAAATAGGTCTTCAACAAGGTGTGCTGTGATGGACTTATTCCATACCTGAAAAGAGGCACTATTTCCTTAATGTCCTTTAGTTTCTTAACTTCCTCATCTCGAGCAGGTGCACACAATGTCCCCATCATGCCAATAATGAATTCTGCCAGCTTGGAAATGTCTAGGGCCCCATTCTCTGCTTCCTGTTTTATCAGTTCCAGATCCAAGACCTCAGTTATCTGGTTTCTTAGTCTAGTGTGACCAGGCAGCAGGAAAGACAGCAGAGTCTACAAGAGAGCACAGCCAAGCTCAGACAGCGTTTCTTAGGCATCAACTTACGCACAAAAAGATTTATAATGTACAAAAGTAAAGGATCGCCAACTGCTATTATGATGCTACACATATTTTTAGCCTCTTACTTAACAAATCTATAGACAAACATGCACATGAATCATTTAGAATAGCTATTTAAGCCTTGTTTATATTCTAGCAATCGCCTGGATACAAGAAAAAACTGAAAGTTAGTTGGTTAGTTTGTGTTTGTTCTTTGAGGAAGGTCTTGCTGTGAGTGCGGTCCAATCTGGCTACAAGCTGGAGACCACCTGCCTAAGCGAACCAAGTGCTAGGATCATGGGTATGTATTGCATGTGTGGCTAAGAATGACTAGTGATAATCAAAGAAAAATATGGTTGCTAAGGAAGCCTGTGGGCCATTTTTCCAGATAACAATTCTTCAGTGTGTGAATAGTAAAGCCACTGCAGAAAAAGCCCTTCCACGTATAGCCCTCTCTATCCCAAGGCGCAATTACTTTTTGGTCAACATAAATTGAATGTGTCCATATCTAGTAAAATTCATAAGTACTCTATATTTCATAATGTAAGTTTTGTTGTCTCTAAGCAATATGAACGTTTTCTTTGTACAAAAGTAGCGTCTTTGGGTTATCACAGTTTGGTTGAAAATTTTTTTAAAGGGGCAGCGGTGCTAAGTCAAAAGTACTCAATTCAAATTCCTTCAAATGACTTTGTGACCTCAATCTCTGTAGAGTCTTCTGGAATAGCAACATAGGCTGGATGAACACTCTCTAGGCACGATTCACTCTTTGCCTCACCTCTTTGATCTCTCCTACAAGTTTGATGGCATGGTCATATGTTGGGGGGTCTTCACTTAGCTGGACACTCAGGCAATCCCAGAAAGCTTTATGTACAATCTCCTTTACTCTCTTCTCCAAGCTGAAGACAAGAAAAAATAAAAAGACAAATGCAATACTATATATATATATATATGTATATTCATATATATATGAATCTAAATCATTTTCAAAATCATAAATTCTATGGCTATAAGGTAACAAATCTTCAAAACCATAGGACCAAGGAAAGACGTCCCAGATATAAACTGACAACACTCTAGCTACTTTGCCTCTTAAGAGTGGATTTCACGGGCAGGAGAGATGGCTCAGAGGTTAAGAGCACTGGCTGCTCTTCCAGAGGTCCTGAGTTCAGTTCCCAGCAACCACATGGTGGCTCATAACCATCTGTAATGAGATCTGGTGCTCTCTTCTGGCCTGCAGGCATACATGGAGACAGAATGTTGTATACATAATAAATAAATAAATCTAAAAAAAAAAGAGTGGATTTCACATCACTTAGTAGGGCAACATGAATCCAATGAATAGCGTATAACAATGCCATAAGGGGAGATGACCAGAGGCTGGAGAGATGGCCCAGCAGCAAAGAGTATTTATGCTCCTGCAGGCAGAGGATGCGGATTTACTTCTCAGCTCCCCCACATGATGGCTCATAACCATCTATACATAACTCCAGTTCCAGGATCCAACACATCCAACGTGTATGTTCCTGCGATACATACACGTGAATACAGGTGCCCACAGAGAGCAGTACATACACTTAACTGCTGAGCCTTCTCTGCAGCCTTTTTATTATTACTATTATTATCTTGTTTGGGTTTTGCTTTTTGAGATAGGGACTCACATAGCCCTGGCTGGCTTCTGAATTGCAACATAGTTGAGGATGACCTGTAACTGGCCCTCCTGCCTCCACTTCCCCGCTCTGGGATTACAGCTGTGTGCGCCCCTATCTCCCCCCCCCTCCCCGGCTTCCTTGTCTTCACACAGTTAATTCGGCAAGGGATGCGAGTTAGAGCTGCAATGCAGTGACAGTCACAAGGAAATGGATGGGACATGTGCTGCAAACAAAGAAATGGCTGAGCCCTCACGGGGAAAAGCAGGCATGAAAGCTTCCAGACTCCAGACTCTTTCCTTGTATCCTGAAGCATCCGTGGCTATGAGACCCATGTTCACAAGTCCCTTCTAACCTAGGAATATTTTTAGCACTGCTGCACAAAAGGAAGAATGTACTGCATACACTGGCACTGAACGGGAAGCCATTCCCAGAACTGGAAATGCTCTAGTAAAAAAGTCCATGCACGTACCTGCCTTCTGCTAACTCAACAGCGTTAATCCGGAAGTCTCCATTTACCACAATTTCATGGGCTAGAGCCATGTTGGTGACTCCTTTTGCTGTTTCTAGAAGTTCCTCTACAGTGACAAGCCGAGGAGGACTAGCTGCAATGGAAACCCAGTTTAAGAAGTTTGTTGAGCTAAGGCCTACAGCAGTAGCTACAATGATATCTGGAACCCAACATTTCAAACAATAGGTTTAGTTTTTTCTTTTTATGTAGAATACTAAAAGTAATGAGTACTAATATAATACACAAAACATATGTATGTATGTTTCCACTAACACTGCTCAATAGAAAATAGCACAATAAATTGGGATTGAAAACTTAAATTGCCTATTTTCACTGTCTCAGTAAGCTAAAGGTTTATGTTCTGCCTCTGCTAATTCCTGTCTTTCAAAAAGAAAAATAGGAGTTCAAGGCCAGCCTGGTCTACAAGAGCTAGTTCCTGGAAAAAAAAAAAAGAATTGAACGAGACTCCTAAGACAGAGAGAGAGCCGGAGGAAACAAGCTCCACTGGGAGCAGAAGCCAGAAGCAAATCCAGCCCTGGGAGCCAACCCAGTCTTGGGACACTGGCAGACCAGAATTGAGTCAACGACCTGACTCAGAGTCCAACCTCCACTGGAACTGGAGTGGGACTGAACCAGTTACCTAAGACAGAGCAGAAGCCAGGAGCAAACCCAGCCCCGGGACATGAGCAGATCAGGATTGAACCAGAGACCAGATCCAAAGTCAACGATCGCCACCAGAACAGGTCTAACTCCAAGCCAGGGACTTCTACAAGGGGGGATCCAGACCAAGATTTACAGAAACAGATCAAAGCCAGCAACCTAGGCCAAAGTAGGCCTGAGACAGCAAACTACACGGGAGCAGACCAAAGCACAGGAGTACTGAGCTATCTCCAGGAACAGGAATAACCAACAGGGTAACTAGAACTGTGACACTGACTGTACCATGAGGAACAACCATCTGAGCTTTGGATTCACTGGCACCTAGAACATTATTCAACAGAATCTCAGACAGCCCCAACCACACCTTTTAGAGGAAAAGATAAGTAGAAAAGGTAAGATCACATGCTACACCACAAAGAGCAACACAACACCAGTAAAACCGAAAGACCCTGCAAAAGGAAGACCTGAATAACCAAATATGGATGAACCAGAAGAAAATGATCTAAAAAATAACCTCAAGAGAATGTTTGAAATTCTTAAAGATGAAATGAGAAATTACCTTAAAGAAATGGAGGAAAAAAACAAACAAAAAATTGGAAGATATCAGCAAATCATTTAAAGAAAACCAAGAATAAGAACTCAAACATATAACAGAAACTATTCAGGACTTGAAAACTGAGATAGAAAAAATAAAGAAAACACAAGCTGAAGGAATTATAGAAACAGAAATCATGAGGAAAAGAGCAGGAACCACAATGGCAAGTACGAACAACAGAATACAAGAGATGGAAGAGAGAATCTCAAGTGCTGAAGATAAAATAGAGGAAATAGACTTCATCAGTTAAAGAAAACATTAAATCTAAAAAAAGCTTAACCCAAAATATCCATGAAATATGGGACACCATAAAAAGGCCAAATCTTAGAATAATAGGTATAGAAGAAGGAGAAGTTCAACTCAAAGAAACAGAAAATTTATTTAACAAAATCATAGAAGAAAACTTTCCCTATCTAAAGAAAGATATGCCTATGAAGATACAAGAAGCTTACAGAACATCAAATAGACTAGATCCAAAAAAAAGTCCTCTTGCCACATAATAATCACAACACTAAACATACAGAGTAAAGAAAAAATATTAAGAGCTGCAAAGGAAAAAGGTCAAGTAACATATAAAGGCAGACCTATCAGAATTACACCTGACTTCTCAGTGGAGACAAGGAAAGCCAGAAGTTTGTGGTCAGGCGTTATGCAGATATTAAGAGACCATAGATGCCAGCCCAGACTACTATTCCCAGCAAAACTGTCAATCACCCTGCATTTTCAGAATTAGTATAACAATATAGAATTATTTTGATTATGTAGTATGATATCAACTTTCCTAATTTTACTTTTAATATTTTGCATCTTACATGTAAGTCATATTTAAGTAATAAACAGATGCTTGTTACTTTTGTAAGTAAAAAAAAAAGCTGTTGATCACCACAGAAGGACAAAACAAGATATTCCATGACAAATCTAGATTTCACCAATACCTAGCTACAAACCCAGCCCTACAGAAAATACTAGCTAGACGGAAAACTCCAACCCAAGGAAAATGGCTACACCAACACAAACACAGACAACTGATGACCTCATAACAGCAAATCCCGAAGAAGAAAAAAATGCACAAATTAACATCACCAATGATAAAAACTAAATTAACAGGAGATAGCAACTACTGGTCATTAATATCCCTTAATGTAAATGGACTCAACTCACCCATAAAAAGGCACAGGCTAAGAGATTGGATACGAAAACAGAATCCATCCCTCTTCTGCATACAAGAAATGCATCTCAACCTCAAAGATAGACATCATCTCAGAGTAAAAGGTTGGGAAAAAAATATACAAATCAAATGGACCTAAGAAAGAAGCGGGTGTAGCTATCTTAATATCTAACAAAATAGACTTCAAGCTAAAATCAGTCAAAAGAGACTAAGAAGGATATTTTATATTAGTCACAGGAAAAATCCATCAGGAGGAAATTTCAATACTGAACATCTATGCCCCAAATACAAGGGCACCCTCATATGTCAAAGAAACACTTCTAAAGCTTAAATCATATATTAAACTCCACACCCTAATAGTGGGAGACTTTGACACTCCACTCTCACCACTGGACAGGTCAATCAAACAAAAAATGAACAGAGAAATAAGAGAACTAACAGATGTTATGACTCAAATGGACTTAACAGACATCTATACAATATTCCATCCAAACAAAAAAGAATATACCTTCTTCTCAGCACTTCACGGAACCTTCTCAAAAACTGACCACCTACTAGCCTAAACAAAATACCAAAAAAAATTGGAATAACCTAATGTACCTTATCAGATCACCATGCTTTAAAACTACAAGTCAACAGCAATACCAATTCCAGAAAACCCACAAACACATAGAAATTAAACAATGCTCACTTGAATCATCAATGGGTAAAGGAAGAAATAAAGGGGGAAATTAAAGACTTCCTAAAATTCAATGAAAATGACCACATAACATACCCAAATTTATGGGACACAATGAAAGCGCACTAAATGCCTACATAAAGAAGCTGGAAAAATCCCACAGTAGTGAATTAAAAGAACATTGGAAAACTTTAGAACAAAAAGAAGCAAACTCACCTAAGAGAACTAGATGGCAGGAAATAATCAAATTGAGACCTGAAATCAACAAAATAGAAACAAAGAAAACAATACAAAGAATCAATGAGACAAAGAGTTGGTTCTTCAAGAAAAATCAACAAAATAGACAAACCTTTATCCAAACTAACCAAAAGGCAGAGAGAGAATATCCAAATTAACAAAATCAGAAATGAAAAGGGGGATATAACAACAGACACGGAGGAAATACATAGGATCATCAGATAATATTTTGAAAACCTGTACTCCACAAAATTGGAAAACTTAAAGGAAATGGACAATTTTCTGGATAAATATCACTTACCAAAATTAAATCAAGACCAGAAAAGCAAATTAAACAGACCTATAACTGCTGAAGAAATAGAAACAGTCATCAAAAGTATCCCAACCAAAAAAAGCCCAGGACCAGATGGTTTCAGCTCAGAATTCTACAAAACTTTCAAAGAGGAACTAATATCAATACTCCTCAAATTATTCCACACAATAGAAACAGAGGGAACACTGCCAAACTCTTTTTATGAGGCTACAATTACCCTGATACCCAAACCACAGAAAGACATTACTAAGAGAATTACAGACCAATCTCACTCATGAACATTGATGCAAAAATACTAAATAAAATACTAGCAAATCGAATCTAAGAACACATCAGAACCATCATCCACCATGACCAAGTTGGCTTCATCCCACAGATGCAGGGATGTTTCAACATACGAAAATCTGTCAACGTAATCCACCATATAAACAAGTTGAAAAATAAAAACCACATGATCATCTCATTAGATGCTGAAAAAGCATTTGACAAAATACAACATCCCTTCATGATAAAGGTCTTGGAGAGAGCAGGGATACAAGGAACATACCTAAACATAATTAAGGCAATATGCAGCAAGCCAACAGCCAACATCAAACTAAATGGAGAGAAACTCCCAGCGATTCCACTGAAATCAGGCATAAGACAAGGTTGTCCACTCTCTCCATACCTATTCAACATAGTTTTTGAGGTCCTAGCTAGAGCAATAAGACACCAAAGGGGAGATCAAGGGGATACAAATTGGAAAAGAAGTCAAACTCTCACTGTTTGCTGACGATATGATAGTTTACATAAGTGATCCCAAAAATTCTACCAAGAAACTTCTACAACTCATAAACACTTTTAGCAATGTAGCAGGATACAAGATTAACTCAAAAAAAATCAGTAGCTCTCCTGTACACAGATGATAAAAGGGCTGAGGAAGAAATCAGAGAATCAACACCCTTCACAATAGCTACAAATAACATAAAATATCTCGGAGTAACTCTAACTAAACACGTGGAAGAATTGTATGACAAAAACTCTAAATCTTTGAAGAAAGAAATTGAAGAAGACACCAGAAAGTGGAAAGACCTCCCATGCTCTTGGATAGGCAGAATTAACATAGTAAAAATGGCAATCTTTCTGAAAGCAATCTACAGATTCAATGCAATGCCCATCAAAATCCCAGCAAAATTCTTCAAAGACCTCAAAAGAACGGTACTCAACTTCACTTGGAAAAGCAAAAAAACCCAGGATAGCCAAAACAGTCCTGGGCAATAAAAGAACTTCTGGGGACATCACAATCCCTGAATTCAAACTCTACTACAGAACTACAGTACTGAAAACAGCCTGGTACTGGCAGAAAAACAGACAGGAGGACCAATGGAACCGGATAGAAGACCCGGATATCAATCCACACATCTTCGAACACCTGATATTTGATAAAGAAGCAAAAAATATCA